TTGATTTTCCATAATGTTTTTCTAACCTACACTGTAGTTTGGCTGAAGTAAGAAGCAGCAGTATTTTCCCATAGGAAAAAACACAACAAAGGCTTTTCGTGAACAAACAAGCCTTCATGCATGTCACCAATAAGGCTATAAGATTCCTTCTCGTTAAAAATTCGACCCCTTTGCGACAACTTTTCGTTTCCAGTGTCAAAGTGATACCTAGAAGTTGAACATCGAAGTCGAAGCCTTCTGGATCGAGCACTTAAATTTGTCCTCGTCTTAAATATGCATAAAATATTTGCCAATGGACCTTCAGCATTCATCCATTGATTCATTTTTTATGACATAATCCTAGCTGATTTACCTGGAATTTTTAAGAAGAAAATGATGATATTGAATCGTATTCGTAATTGTGGCTTTTGTTTTTTTTTTGTTTGTATTCATGGTACATTCCCGTTTACAGGTCCACGCAACAAACTTAAAAAAAGTAGACTTGTTGCTGTCAATGGTATTTTCCTAATCAATAGTACATGCCACCAGGAAATCTGAAAGATAATTCTGTGAAGCCCACTAGTTTGAATAAAGGGAGACCGTAAAATGATGAATCGTCGTTATTTAATTCTTTTGCTTGAAGTTACTTTTATTTCTTAATTATTTATTTATTTTACATAGGCTTTTTGTGAACAAGCAAGTCATCTTGGATATCACCAATTAGGCTATGAGAATCCTTCTCGTTCAACATTCAACTCGTCGCTTAATTTTTTTTTAACCAGAATTCTAAGAAAAAAATAACCACGAAACATGTGAAAGTCTTGCTTTTAGACATGTTCACCATAAGCCGATACCGAAACCGAAATCAAAACCAATACCGAAACCAAAAACTGTAGTGAGGTAAATGGTAAATGTTTATAATGTTAATTAACTCAACCCTTTTACTCCATTTTATTTGTTTGAAATTTGAATACACTAGATGGAGTATTACTTCAATTCATCAATTCACATGAATCTTTCTAAAAAGCAAAGTTAAATTCAACCATTATTCAATACAATAATGTAAGTAATATACAATAATATTTAAAATGTTGATACAATTTATTTATGATGTACATTAATCATGAAGCAGGTTTCGTCGTAGGGAAAGAGCTGCACATAGTTCTACAATAGGTGCAATATCGTTCCGACTGTGTCTATAAAAAGAACCTATTACTTTATAAATTTCATTCGTCTTATGGAATGTTCTACATAAATAAAACTGAGAATGGAAATGGGGAATGTGTCAAAGAGACAACAACCAGACCATAGAGCAGACAACAGCCGAAGTCTTGCACGAATCTTTTCATTGACAAATTTGCGTTGATCGCGGATTATTGCATGTAGCTGCCTTACAGTATATGGTGTTGCAATAAGATGTTCAGATGGATATATTGTATCGTCAAGTAAGTAACAATCACGAGGAAACGGTAAGATCTCGTGTGGACCGATCGCATCCATCAATCTGTAAGGCATCGCGTCATAGTTATGACCTAGGAAACCAGATTTGATGTACCTTATTTTCTTTCTTGTGTCTATTATGACTTGCGTATGAAAACAGTGTATGTATATGACGATGTGCACTATAAAACAATGCCTGGTTTTCGTTTGGGCGATTTATTCTATGGGAGGTGCCATAAATATATCCAACTGCTTCTTCCAAATCTGGACAATCACCCTTCATAGATTCCCATTCTTCAGCTAAAGGCCATGTTATCATTGATCTGAAAGCTTGATGAAGAATTGGCCAAATTTCATGGATAGGTTTATAAACTAAAGTTTTGCTAACATCAAAGCCATTTGTTCAAATGTAGGGTAACATCTTAAACAAAACAAAACCATTAAAAGTTTATTTTGCCAGCTTATAAGTACCGCATCTTCATTCCTCTGTCTTATTCTGCTAAGCGTTCTCATGAGTATCAAATATACTTCATTAAAACTATCCACTGTTTCACCGGTAATTCCGAAGAAGTTGAATTCATGTCTTATACATTGCTGGTAAATATCATTTCCTTGATATGGGTATAAACTTTCATCAGGTAGTAATTGGTCTCGGAAGTCTTTTCTACATCAAATGAATTGGGAAACAGACATGCAACCAAGCACATCAAGAGGGACAATCAAACGTGCTTCCAGAAAAAGAATAGAAAATGAAATGGAGAAAGAAAACATCAAAATGTATACAAAACTGTTGAAAGTAATTTTCCCGAAAGAACACACGCTTTTTGGATCCTCCTCTTCTGAAACAGATTAACAGTAGTCACACAAAACCGAAATAAAAATGTTTGCCTTTATAAGTATTTGTTTTGGATCATTTGTAAATAAAAAGGTTCTCTTTATATATATAGTCGGCACGATATTACACATATTGTAGAACTATGTACAGTTCTTTCCCTTCGACGAAACTTGCTTCATGATTAATGTACATCATAAATAAATTTGTTTCCACATCTTAATTGTATATTACTTGCATTAGTGTATTTAAGACTCGTTGAATCTAACTTTTTTTGATAGATTCATGTAAATTGTTGAATTGAAGTAATACTCCATCTAGTGTATTCACATTTCAAACAATAGAATGGAGTAAAAGGGTTAAGTTAATGAAACATTATAAACATTTACCATTTACCTGCACTACTATTTTTGGTTTCAGTTTCGGTTTCGGTTTTGGTATCGGCTTATGGTGAACATGTCTAATAGTAAAGGGGCTCTGTTTTAATGTAGTTTCACTGTATACCGCCATCTAAGATTGTTCAATATCAGTGCACAATCGGCCAAGTTCTTTGCCTACATCTGCAAATTTTGAGACAGATTTGCAATTAATGTGTAAGACTGATTATTTGCATAAAGAAAAATAAGTGATTTACTGCATTATCCAAAATGTTTAACCAAGTATCTAATATTTGTGTTTTTCAAATCAATTTTTTACTTAGCCTTTTAAGGGGAGATTACTCTTATAGTAAAAATGTTATACTAGAATGATAGTGAAATTTTAATTTTTTTCTTGCAGCAAGACACAAGTTCGGTGACACATTTTTTATTTTTTTATTTTCTTAAAGCATATTATAAAACCTATCTTCTCATATTTTATTTCAAAATTCTATCTCTCATACATTTCTTTTGATTCACAAAAATGAGTTTTTTCTTGAACAATCTATGCAAATTAGGACAATTTTGCACGACTTGTAGCTTGAAAAATAGCACGGTGACCCATTCTTTTTTATTATATTTTTAAAAAAAGCATAGTAAAATCTTCATTTTGGCAAAGTATAAGAAAATTCTATCTGAGGAAATATATACCGACGATCCACCTTAAATTCTTGTGAAAAAGGATTTTATTTCTAAATGTCAATTTGCCTGTTAAAAACTTTTTAAAACATTGTTCAATAAAACTATGATACAAAATCGATCCTAATATATTTAATAGACACAAACACGAACAATGGTATGATGTAATGCTGAAGCTATTCGTCAATAAAATGTAAATGTACTTCGTATCGGTAAAAGAAATAAATCCGGAAATTCACTGAATTATAATGCCTATCAAAAATGTCAAAGAACGTGAATTTATTAGAAAATCTGAGCCGGAGTGGTTTCATAACTTTACCAAATGAAGTTTTGTTACTTTTTAGCACAAAAAGTTTGGAAAATATCGATGTAATGTAAATTACAATGTTGTAACCACTCAGTGGAAACGAAAACATATTCTTAAAACTTAGTGAAAACGAAAAAATTAGGCTAAAAAGAAAGAATTATACTTTTACCATAAGAAATAGCACTTTAACTTTCATAAAATGCAAACTCAAGAGTTTGAGGACTATAAAAAAGAAACAAACGTAAATATTTTGTCAAGTTGCATTTTGAATGAAAAAATCAACATGTCTTTTTCTTTCCATTTTATGAAAAACTACACTGAGGAAATGGCTATGACCGGGCTAAAAGTAAACTTAAGGTATTGGCTTTGCAAAAAAATCATGTTTAGCCTTCAGTTATGCTGGTCCAGTAAAGTCGTAAAATAAACACTTTTTTCTTGATTTGTCACTCTACTATTAAGGTTCGAGTATCACAATTGGAAAGGCTAACTTTTGTAATTTCACTTGAAAGTGAGAATATGGTCTAAATTGTTCAGATAATACTTAGTCATTTTTATGAACATTTGAAGCCCGAGGCATATAATTAAAAGTCTTTCTATTGACCTTGAAAATGATTTCATGTATTGTTTAGTATAATGCTTTATTTTCGGTGAATTTACCAGGCCAAATAGGCAAAACATATTAGGACATGTTTTCCTCTATGTTGTATCAAAGTATACATATTAGTATATAATTTATTGGGATATCTTAATTTAAGTATTAAAAAGCTGACTACAAAAAGAAATAGTTTTAAGTTTCATTTAAAATGGGATTTGGTTTGTCTTTGCCAATATAAGCCATATCGTCCAATGCATTATCAATCATCCCGTATTCAAGCATAAACAAATAACACATAAAAGTCATGACATATTCTTTTCCCAGAATTTAGCTTGACCGTATTTATTTTTTGGTATTTCTGGGCAACCCTGTTTGTCATTATAATATGAAATAAACAACACGTACAAGAACGTATTGGTTTACATAACTTTAAGCTAACAAATTATTGATATTAACTCATTTTCATAATAAAATCTGTAATATCATGTCATACTATGTTTTTCAAGGTTAATTGTTATATGCTCAGCAACACAAATAACACACAACTGTTTCCTATATAACAGTGGTCGGGGTTTTTGTTCCTACAAATTTTAAAACAGTAGTTAATTTCAAGCATAACCTTAAATTTTTCAATGGTTTACTAATAGTATTTTCGTGCTATTTCCGACGATGTAGATTTCTACCAAAAACAATTTTGAAAACTTATTAACAACAGAAACATTATCTCATTAGAAGTTATATGGCTGGTGCGCTTCTTTAGCTGTTAAGTATAATGTTACGGTTTCAATTGAAAAACATTTGAAGGGAAATCTAGATCTAGAAAGTTTTAAATATTAGAAGAAGTTAAGTGATTTTATTTCAATCGCAATTGCAGAAAATGAACCTTAGTATTTCTCTAATGGTTATCTACAGTAGACACTTTATACTGCTCCTACTTAATAAAATTCTGCAAATCTCTGCTGAACAGTGCACACCTGAAATCTTCACGGTAAATCCAGATAAAAGGGATGTAAAATTACAGGGATTTATCTATCGTTCGTTTGATCAAACACCACCAAGAGCTTGCTTCATAAAATGTATCCGACGACCACGATGCCATTCTTACAACTATAACAGGGTCCATCTTACATGCGAGATTAATCTGAAACCAGAGTATCTTTATGATGTGTACTTTCAACATGCCAACGGTTATATCTACGTTGTGATTCAACATTACAGAGGGGTGAGTTTAAATCGAATTGAATCAGTTAATGAATGGCAACAAAACAAACTTTCAAAATTTCAGAGAAATCATTTGGTTACGTTTCAAATTCAATTTTATGATTCGAAACTAAATAACGTAATGATCACCTTCAATGCATTATATTTAAGTGATAATTAATTGACACAATTAGTGGCGTTTAACATATAAGTGACATGTTTCATACTATGTACTTTTTTTCAAAATCTGTTAATACCATGCAATACATAAAAAAAGAGATGTGGGTTTACGTCTGGAGCAACCACGTTTTTCGTCATATGAATAATTTTATTAACTGGTGGTACTAAATGTTCTGCTCTTCAAGAAATCTGCTTTTTATCAGAGACTTCAAAATAAGTCCATGGTTAAACGTATTGTTTCTTGGAGAGGTCCAATTTACAATGTATCAGATGCCTAGCAATGACCCTAGGCCTTCAACCTTAATTCACACACATAGACGTTTGCTACCATAAGCATTCTCTATACCCCTTTTGCTGTAAATAAAATTGCATCAATGGTTATAATGAATGGTATTGGTGCAATATAATTCAAAAGCGAAAGGTCAGTACTTTATGGTATACCTTGTATGTTACAATTGGGAATGACACAATTTATATGATGTGTAAATAAGGGACTATGCACAGTGTAACGAGCAAGTAGGAAATGCACACAGATAAAGGACTGTATTTAAGCTACCTTTTTCAGCAATTATTTGCAAAGTAAATACTTATATAATAATCAACAAATTAAATAGACATACACGTGATGCGCATGCATTAAGTATAAGCAGATATTGTATTATATTATAACAAATATGTGTTTACTTTTATAACAGGTCTTTAATAATAAAAAAAAAATGCTATACAACATCTACATTAACTAAGGGTTAAGAGCAGATCAAACATTGTTTCCCGAAGCGACGCATTATTCACTGTTAAAATAAGGATTAAGAATGAAAACATTTTAAAGTATTGCATATTTAATAATTGCTTAGTGTGCACGAAAGGATAACAATTAAAATCACATCATGAAGACTAATTGTAGAAATGATATATTAAAATAGCCTAATCCATTATTAGCAGATGCAACATTTGATTAGTTTCACGATACAATATATGGGAAAATATAAATGGTTGTATACCGCGGAAATCCAGTAAAATGGGGTGGTAACCTGATACCACCACAATTTGTCGGGTATTGGTGATTTTGTACCGTCGAGTATGTATTTGGAATTCCTGTTATCCTTTTTTATATATTATAAAATGACTCTATTTTTATACCGTGTCTCACTAGAATGACAGGTTTCTGGAGTTAACAGCCAGAAGGCAATTGCATTGTGCAGTACAGGTTGATGTTCATTGACTCTATGTTAGTGTTTGCTCATTATTGAAAGTTTGTACAATTTCCTTTGGACTATACTAGGTCGTTTTGTTCGTGTACTGCTCGTGACATTCTGGTTACCAAACTGATAAGAGGTATAAAACAAATATTAGAGTGGAAAAGATTCATTTAATTCAGACAATGAATAATAGCCATTTCATTGGTGTGTTTGGTTACTTTATCACTCCCAGTTTTAGGTTAGATTCGTGTTGGTCAGTATTCAATATTAATGTAGGATTTTGTGAACTTGTTTGTTTTGTCGTCGTTCTTCGTTTTTTTTTTTTTTTTTGCCATAGCTTTTTCAACATATCCTGACTAATGAGTGTTGAATGACCTTTTGATATCTTTCATCTCTCTTTTAAACTTTGACCCTAAATATATTTTTTATTTGTATTGTTCTGCCATGTCTTTCTTGATCCGTTGTATTTTGTTACAACGGTTGTTTTAATTTTGATTACTGCCGTCTCTTTATTCGAGAGAAAAGTGTAAACAAAGGTAACATGTGTAATGTTACCTTCAGATCTATCGGATCTGCCTTGTTTGGATTACTCTTTTATGTTGAGTTGGTTAGATCTATGATTAATTTTTTCAATATGAATTTCAATACCTTGTTATCATTAATTCGATATATTTCTAGATTTTACATTGATGCATATCAATCATATAAATTTAATTCAAATTCAATATCTCCATGATCAGGATAATCTAGTTTCATATTTTTTGTATGGAATATGTGCATGTAAAACAAGTAGTTGTTTCATTTTTCATTCATTTATAAATAAGTCAAATCAGTTTTACATATCAGTTTTACAATAGCCTTGGCACAGAAGTGAATATATATCATAAATTCTAAATTCTAACGACTATAGAACACACATTAATAAGAAAAATAGTTGACAATCGTCTAACTTATATTGAAGTTATATATAAATTTTAGAATACCCTTTTTGACCCGTGTGTAGGAAATCTATGCAGCACAGATGAAGTTTGTGCAAGCCTAAAGAATAAAAAGATTATTTGTATAAAGGTTGGTACGTATGAAACCATTTAATAGATAGCAGTAAAAATAGTTCATAGTTAAATTTTTCCTTTTCCCCATTGTGAAAAAATGAAAAATATTTTATAAATTTAATGCGTCTGTAGAGCTTTCTTTACTTTCATTAGAAAAGTATAAACCTAAACATTTGCAAGCCAGTGAAGTACAATTACGTAAACATATAAGCAGCTTGATATGTGTGGATGACTTAACTGCAGTGTCTGTTTTTACATAACAGACGGTTAATAATTCACATTAAAAATGGACAAACTTTAAAAATACTTTCATTTGTTCTTCTTAAAGACAAATTAATATGATGTCCTATAACTTACATAAGCTAAACAAGACTACTATAACGTAAGAGCGCGACATTGACAACACATCCGTGCCTAACGAAAAAGACTAATTAAATGTACATTAGATGGACATATCGAAGAGAGCGAAGAATCGCAACTCCCGCATTAAAATTAATCCCCACTATACCTATTTCAGCAAATGTAACAAAACAACAATTTAAAACAAAGCAATAGTTAATTAATTTATGTAAATCAATGTGTTTTTTTTTTTTTTTTTATTTCATTTTATCTTATTTTATTTCATTGACATTTATTAATTGTATAAACAATTCGGTATTAGCGTATGATAATAATACAAAATCATGTACGAAAAATTTATCTGTGTATAAACTCACTAGCAATATGTTTTTATATCCTTCGATACCAGAATAGTCGTCGTATCTGTAAATTAAGCGATTATGTCCAATTCCTGATTGTCAAATTGACTGCATGACTGAATCGCATGGCGGAGGATGCATGCATATCATGAAACGCTTAGCAAGTCGACGAACCTGTTCCCTTTTGAAGTCGAAGCGATTCCCTCAGTATTAGCCAGTTTCCTTGATTTGTCGTCTTCTTAATGGATTGATGAGATTTGAACGTCTGTAGAAACTGTTGCCTTCATTCACAAGATTGTAAAATGTCATAATGTTCGATAAGGTCAACTCCAATTAAAAATTTTAAGAAAATGATAAAGTCACTCAATAATCCAATCATTTAACTGTAGTATATAGTTTAGTACTATTTTTTACAATGAATACTTAACTGTGAGAAATTTAGTCCCCGTACCTCTGTGCATTTCTTTTAAGATCTGATAATTTAGTTAAATAATGGCACTAACTATCCAAGATCGTATCGGACTATTCTTACTATTTAATCTTTTTATTTTACAAATGCCCTACAGGGTAAACAGCTCATGACTTCTATCAAGACTTGAATTGCTCGAACTCATGGCTAGTGAGGTGTTCCAATTAAAATCATTTAGATCTGTGCATTTGTCACTTCTATCCTAGAAAACATTCTGACAATTTTAGACAGTTCTATTTTTGATCTGATCTCGACAGTTCTACCTCAGAACAGTTTTTGAAAGTTGTCCGTGTACTCTGCAACTTATTCTGAAAGTTCTATCCTAAAGCCTTTACGGGGTATAAAAGATGCTTATTTTACGTGTTACTGTTGTGTTAAATATTTTCAAACACGAGACAGGTATGAATGTTTTACACAGTAAGGAATAAGAAATAAAACCCTTTAACTGTCTTGATTTATTTGCGTATGCAGGCGATGGACACTAGTTAACCAAAATCAGCATCAAATTATATACATGTATATTATAACAAATTTTTTGTCCATTATTAGGTTCATAACAATTTCGCCACTTTTTCCCGAAGCATTTATCCCCAAGGGTGACTGGGGAATATAAATATGTGACGCTTGGGTCTTTTTCAGATTGGCAATGAAACCCTTGTCAAAGTTGAGCGTCCGTTTGGTTGTGCGGGATGTACAAGAACACAGACACATCCGGTCAGAATGGGAACGTTAAACCCGTTGCTCGTGAATAAAGATTGCCATGCTCTCTGCACGTTAAGAACCATTGCAACAGCCCTTTGAGGGGTACCGTAGATGACCTGTTGCAAGGCAAAATGTCTGCCCTTATCCAATATATCATCATTTTTCAGACGCAGTTGAAATTTCAAATTTTCCGGACGGGCTCTATTACAGGACCTACGTATTGCATTTATTGTTAATTTTTTTTCGTCTTTAATATGCATGAAATATTGTCCACTGGACGTTAAGCAAACAACAATCAACCAATCAATCGTAACATTTATGGCTGGATATAACCATGATGACTTTTAAACGGCATGCCAGTTTACGAATTGACAGCAAAAGATTATATACTTACAATGTCACTTTATCGGACTTTCTATGTTTCAGGATGTGCAATTTACACTGCATATACAGTACTGCGTATATACCATTTAACCTACAATATGAAATCTAATCTACGATTCATATTCGACACGTGTAATCCTTGCCAGAGAAAATACATTTAGTCACTTGTAAGAACAGAGGTCAATCAAATCTTTGGAGGACTACTTCAGCCTTTTCGCCTTTTTATTGTGAGCGTTTATATATTTCATTTAAGAAAAACCATGCTTGGTTACAGTATTGATTTCAATTTTGAAGGAAGGAACCGTCATCTTCGGTAGAAATGTATCACGGTAAATTGGTTAAATCTTGTCGATAGAATGTTAACCGAAATAATATGACATGTTTTCCCATCACGTATTTTTTTCGATCTTTACTTAAAATGTTTATAATAACAAATAATAAAAATAATAAAATTGTTAATTAATTTATATTTTCAGATGTTAATATACCGAACGAAAATCCTGAAATGTGGCGCTTAGAAAGCCCACCCAACAAAGCTCAACGGCACGGTCAGACTTTTCTGCATCTAAAGCTGTTGATGGCTTAACACATACGATTTCACACACAGACAATAATTTATCACCATATTTGTGGATTGATCTGGAAATCATTTACAACATTTTTCGGATTGAAATTATCAACAGAAACAGATATGGTACGTTTTTAATGTTAACCAAATAAATTTTGAGTAATATTTCAACGCTAAGTGTTACATGTGAAACCTTGGGATAAGATCAACTGGTAATTGCAACGATGTGGTCTTCCTGCAAATATGTCTGATTGTGTGGTGTTTTTTTTTTTTTTTTAATATATTTTGTACAATGTTACGGACCTTCAATCCTTTCAAAGTTTGCATTAAAATGATACGTTTTTTTATATTTATGATTAGACTAAGGTAGACCTTTCCAGTTTCTTTTTTTGTATAGACATCTGATATATGGAAGTAATCTACATCTAAACAGCAAGTTAGTAAACACGTTTATTTCAGATCAATAGTCACGCACAAGTTGAAACTATGAAATGTTGTAAAGTCATGAAGCAAAGCAACTTGTCCTGTTGATCATATTTTTACTAACTCGAGTTGCGATAATAAACTCAGCGTCGATACCAAGCTGAAGTTTTGTACGCCAGAATCGCGTGTGGTCTTCAAAAGACTCATCGGTGATACTCCATCAAAAAAACGTTATTAGGGACAATAAAGTACGAGGTTGAAGAGCATTGAGGACCAAAAATTCTGACAAGTACAGCTAAAGTAATCTATTCAGGGGGTAGAAAATCCTTAGTATTTCGAACATTTCAAAGGTTTCGAAACAGTTAATTTAAAAAGCTAGGAAGATCAAATCAAAGTGACATTTAGCTTATTTGATTCAGACTTGTATTAACTTATAACGTTGAAATATGCATGATGGACTCATACCTACCATTCTTAAGAGCAAAAGCTATTGCAAACTATAGTAAATAAAAATGTTGATCCATTTTGTTTTATAGATAGATCACCTTTTGAAAAGGTTCATTCATCATTCTGTAAATACATATTTGGTGTTAGAAAATGCTCAACACATTTTGCAACTCGTCTTGAAATTGGAATGTTACCAATAGAAAGCTATATTAAAGTCCAGTTTTTATTATATTTGGCTAGGCTACATACTAAAGATATTAATCCCCTAGTATTGGAATCATTTGAAATCTGTAAGATGTTGGATGCACAAAATGTATATTCCTGGTATACATATGCCAAAGATATTATCCCTCAAGAGATAGATGATCACAAAAAGATGTCTTCATGCAAAACTATAAAGGAAGTCAAATCTCTAAAACATGTTATCAAAGAAGGAATTTTTAATAAATATAAAAACCTCTATAAAACTGATATTGAAAACCTATGTGAACAAAATAAACTTTTTCTCTACAAAGATCTCAAAACAGATACTGAGACAGAATTTTACTTGTCAAATTCAAACTTTGAATTTCGTAAACTTATAACTAAATTTAGAATATGTAATCATAATCTGGAACGTGAATTGGGTAGATATAAGCAAGTACCACGAAATCTTATATTATGTAATTGATGATGAATTTCATTACTTCTTTCATTGCGGAATAAATAAAAATTCAAGAAACAATTACTTCTCTGAAATTGTTTCTAAAAATATTGACTTTATGAGTTGCAATAACAAACAACACTACAATATATACTCAATCAAACACATTTTAACAGGTCCAAAGTCTAGGTTCCTCTTGATTAACTGGTGGTTAAAAGATTTGTTGTATATATGTTGTAATTTGTATTTTGTTTTGTCACTATCTTTTATGCTTTACAACAATTGATATATATATATTAACAAGTCTAAACTGAAAACAACGTTCAAACCTATGATTGCGTTGGATAAAAACCGCAATTTTTATACGTGTGCATACAAAAAAATTTCTTGGTAGAGGGCCTAAATACAGCACAAACAACATTTTCCAAAAGACAAAAAAAGTAAAAAAGTATATTTTAACAAAACGCATTTGACTTTCAGGTCGAACAACTCATGTTCTTAAACCCTGCTGACTGCCACTGGCGATTACTAAATAAACGGATCACCAGATGTAACAAAATGGATCTTATTACTAATAAATTACAAATCAGAAAACAATAAACTTGCGGAAAAGATGGTATACCGCAAACATGAGGTGCAAAAACTTGTACACCATATCCGGATTTCGACAATTTATGTCTCTTCAGTGATGTTAGGAATCGAAACGGTATTTGGAAGGCCATATAATTTACCTCAATTTAGGATAGACGCTTGAATTTTGAAAGAGTCGAAATAGGATGAACGGATTATATAAACCCGAAGGCAAATATAATACAAGCCCAAACGAAAAAATATAAACAAGTCTAAATTGAAGACAACGTTTAAACCTATGATTGCGTTGGATAAAAACCGCAATTATTTATACGTGTGCATACAAAAAAAAATCTGGGTAGAAGGGTCTAAATACAGCACAAACAACATTTTACAAAAGACCAAAAAAGTGAAAAAGTATACTTTTACAAACCGCATTTGACTAACAGGTCGAACAACTGATGTTCTTAAACCCTGCTGACTGCCATCGGCGATTGCTCAATAAACGGATCACCAGATGTAACAAAATGGATCTTATTAATAATTTATTACCAATCAGAAAACAATAAACTTGCGGAAAAGATGGTGCAAAAATTTGTACACCATATCCGGATTTCACAATTAATGTCTCTTCAGTGATATTAGGAATCGAAACGATATTTGGAAGGCCATATAATTTACCTCAATATATTATATATACATATGAGTGTATGGTTTTTGTTTCAGTTTGTCACAAACATGTTTTAATTTGTTTATATGACAATAAAGATTATTATTAATACTGCAATATGCCAACACAAAAGTGCTGACTATTGGGTTGGTGATATACACGGGACCAGCAGTGACATCGACCCAGTGGTTATAAAACAAATCATCGAATATTTAATTTTGTACGTCGGGCTGTGCATTTCGTAATTAAGATATCAATAAAGGGTAGACAGTTTCTGCTTGAATGGTGTTATCATACACTAAGGACTTCCTTGACCTAATGAAAGCGGCATATGTTTTGGTGATTATAAGTATTGATTTTATAACCAATCAGTGAGTAACATTTAAACCACTGTGTAATCATATTCATTCATGATGGTTTGTTTAGAGAACAAACGCTTCTGCAAACGGCTACTGAAATAGAGTCCCCAAATCGTTCGCTATGTTCGTTTGATTTAATAAAGTTTTAATTGGCTTTTATACTGATATCTCTTTTTAATTGGAATTAGTTTAAAAACTGACTTTTGACTTTTTCAAATCATTATCCACAATGACAGGGGTTTGTTTGAACGTACTTCTTGAACCAATAAAGTGTGACTGTTCATGAACACTTTTCAGCAACATATTCGGTAATATTAAAATGTCGATTTGATATATGTATATATGATACGATACAAAGTAAACATTGTGTGCTTTCTCCATCATAGATATAAAACTAACGACGATTTTATATACTGTTGTTGGTAGCCTTAAATGTAAGACAAAATGAAGAATAAAGTGATTCGGACGCATGAAATTTATGAAGTGTTGTTTTAATTTTTTAATTTAGCAGTCACACTTTTAGATGTCTTATGATTCTTTTATCTCTCTTTGAGTTATCACTGATACTTTGCCAATAATAATAATAGATCATGATCACTATTTCTCTGTGTTTGATTTTATTTAATAATTGCGGACTATTTCAAGAATAATTTGTAACATTGTTGATTTGATTCTAAAGGCTATTTCATATGTTTCAATGTTGTAAATATTCGCACAATAAAATTAGTGTCGATCGAAAATCTCAAATTTTAGTAATATTATGTTTAATTGAAAATTAGTTCATATATGTATTATATCGCAATAAGGGATAGAAATTATTCATTATACTGTTATTTCATACGGTGTAAAGCTTTTTTATTTTCATCTACAATGAAAATCATGAACGTGACTGTATACGTCTAATCGATAGTAGTATTAGTGCATCATTAATGAGAATTATATTTAATTGTTCACTATTGAATCATCACAACATAAGGTTAAATACGAGACACAATGGATAAGTGTAGTTTGTTAAAAAAAAACTACATTCTTCCTCGCTCAGACATCGGACTCATTTTTTGTTTTAGCAGTTAACGATTAGCCATACTTAATTCGAACACAGATACCGTGAAGTAGGGTGACTCAGCTGTTTATTTTATAGAATTCCACATGTGGCACATGTGGAGCAGGATCTGTTTACTCTTCCAGAGCACGTGAGATCACCCCCATTTTTTGGTGGGGTTCGTGTTGCTCAGTCTTTAGTTTTCAATGTCGTGTTTTGTGTACTATTGTTTGCTTGTTGGTCTTTTTCTTTTAGCCATGGTGTTGTCAGTTTGTTTTCTACTTTGAATGAGTTTGAATGTCCGTTTGGTATCTTTCGCCTCTCTTTTCCAAAGATCCGATAGATTTCAAACAAAAACACTATCAAATTCACTCCTCATGTGAACTTCACCCTTTTGACGCATATCCCACAAACATTTGATCATATAAATAGTTTTCATAAGTTTTTTTTTTCATGTAAGAAATGACGTATACGTTTTTAATTCTCGAGTTAATTTTGTATTTGTTTTTGCGTCTAAACTATTTTCCAGAATTTAGTAGTCTTAACTTGCGTTAGGCGTTAAAATGATCTCTTCGTTTATATGATTTTTCTGATAGTATTGTTCTTTTTACGTGTATTGAACATTTGCAAATTGATTGCTGGAAGTAAACGATGAATGCAATCATCTTTTCTATTCAACAGGCTACAGGTTACATGATCTTGATATAACCGTTGGACCACGCCTTGATTATATGTCGATGTGTGCGCATTACACCGGACCCGGAAATGATGGAAAACATCTGGTATTTCAGTGCAAAGGGTGGTATATAGAAAGTCGTTTTGTCAAAATGACCATCACCAACGTCCGGGAATATTTACAGTTAGCAGAGGTTAAAGTTTTCGGTTATCCTACACTTAGATAAATTGACACAAACAACATGAAATTGTTCAAGTGTATTATGAGTTTTATTTTTATATTCGTCTTTAAATATGTTGATTAGATTTTTAACCTCCAAAATTGTGAAGACAATTTATCTAAGTAAATTTAAAGACAGACATGTAAAGATTTTGTTGTAAATGACGAAGCGTCTACCATCGCAAAGGAGAACATATAATGCTATTATAAAAGATTTAAATAAGCCTTTGTCAGTTTTGTTATTTTATTGCTATCAATTATTAATTGATGCCAACACCTCATAAATAACAAATAATTTCTTGTATTCACTTTAATATCAGAAGGAATGGAAAATCTTAATGCTTGCATGGTCTTTTATCTATTTCCCTCCAGGTTCTGTCGATTATTACAGTTTTGATTTTGTTATGAACATATGAAATCATTATATCTTCAAACCACATGCTTTTTTTGCAATTTTTCATTTGTATTACGTAATATTTTTAAACATTTTTTTTTATTCAAGTGTTTTAATCGATTAAAAAAAATGTTTTCAAGGATCTGACAAATAGTCATCAACATACCCAGATGTTTATATTTACGTCTACTTGAGACTAATCATTGACACTCGAATGTAACTAGAGTTGGAAAGCCAAATCATCTCCAAAGTTGAAGAGCATTCAGGACTTAACCTAAAAAGACCACCGTAACTTTTAAGTTTTAAACCTCCGTCTATCGAACGAGGCTTAATATTTAACGATCTTTAAATGTAAAGAATATGACGAATTGCAATGACTTTTATGACAGCAGATGAATGCGTACTACTTGACTGGTGATATCGTCATGGGGAAAACGTTTATCAGTGGTTTCGAGCCAGTGGTTGTTAAAACTCACCAACAACACACAACTTGTGCGAGAGTACACAATATATGCGTTTAATAATTCATAGGCACTCGTATCTTAACGAGTGTAAAACAAAACCAATAACGAAGTAAGAGACCACTGAAGAAAACAAATTCAATAAATAGGCTAACATTTAATGAACAGTAAATTTACAGAAAAAAAACAATGAAATAGTTAGTCGACTCCTTATTGCATTTTTAATTTGTTTTTTAGTTTTCTCGCGGAACGTAAAGTGACAAAAGAAAACTGTAAATCCCAAAAAATTATCACCTAGACAAGATCTACGACTAAGTTAGCATTTCCCTCAACCAAGACATATTTTAAATACAAGTCTCCCAACCTCACCACTCAAATAACCTGTTATTTTTTAGTGCAAGTTTTGTCCTAATGAAGGTAATCTGTTAGCTGTTGTGCTGTTGTCATTTTTTGTATTCTTGTGCTTCAATGTTTCGTATGTGCTTTGTCTATATGGCATTTTGTTTTTCTTAGTTGACATATTTGTTTGTTTCATAGTGATTGAGATTATAACACAATGTTGACTGCTGTACCCCTATCTTTGACATTTTTATCTATTATGTCTGATTGTTATGTTCTCACATTGTTGTCAATATAATGGAATTTTATGGGACTGTGATACAAGTGAGATATTTAGTTAGTTTTAAAACCAGGCTTAATCCACCATTTTCTACATAAGAAAATGCCTGTACCACGTCAGGATTATGACAGTTGTTTTCCATTCGTTTGATGTGTTTGAGCTTTTCATTTTGCTAATTGTTAAGAGACTTTCCGTTTTGAATTTTCCTTGGAGTTCGGTATTTTTGTTGTTTTACTTTTTAGCATTTGTTTCTACTCGAGTGGTTATGCATATCATATCTTTTTGTGCGTATTTGATGACCAAGAAACAGCATACCGCTTAGCATTGAAAGATACGTTTATGTTCATTTTTTTAGGAATCAAAGTGTTTTTGTAAAATTTCATAACATGTCTCGAGTCATTCCCCACAATCCCAAGAACATTGTTAAGGGTGTTTGCTCCTCTTGTTTTGAATTTTTGCCAGATATTCAGAATCCTCTGGTTTTATCTATGTAATGCCTTTTAACATTTTGCCGGCTTACCCCTACTTTTCTTTTCATAAATTTATTACATGTAGTTTAAAAAGTCATATTTGAAAATCTTATGAAATCATTGTTATTTATTCATAGTTTTTAAAGAATACAGGTACCAATGTTAAATGTATGAAACATCTAGAGAGAAGCATTTCCCGCCAAATTTTCAATGGCTTATATCTCGAAAACAAGCACACGGACCCTTCATTTGTTTCTGCTTTTTTAGTTCCTTTATTTATATATTATCAATGTATAACAGTCTTTTAAAACGCTTGTTATTTTGATACAGAGTAGCGAACATCCCTAAGAAGCCAATCACATTGAATGTATGACAATAGACCATTTTCATATCACCGACTTTTGACTCTGGATTATACAATTTTTCTACAGGTTACCCTCTATGTGGTAGGACATCCTGGTACTCGGTCAGGTAAGTGCAATAAAAAGGAAATAAAATCAGACATATAATCGGTGCAATTTGGGGGAAAAGTTTACTGTTTTCTGATAATTTTGTCGTGTATAGAAAATATAAAACAAAACATGTCCCCAAAAAATTGTATCGATTGTTAGCTTGGTTCTACTTCTATAAGTTGCTCATACTTGACCGAGTACCAGGATGTCATACCACAGAGTAGGTAACCTGTCGAAAAAATATAAACTCCTGAGTGAAAAGTCGGTAATATGAAAATAGTCCATTGTCTAACTATTTCTACTTTTGATCTTTTATCCTTAATAATAAAAATTATGATCCCTACGTGTGGTGCTTAGTAGAGTCAAACTTGTCCATTTTCACAATCAAATTTCAACAACGTATGAGTTAAGTAACCATATCAACCACTCGAGAGAATTTTGAGACATATTCTTATTACATGAATAGATAACGCAGACAAAAACATGAGAATGTGAATATGTAATAACTCTTGTTCGAGAAACACGTATCGTGCACAAGTGTAATTGTGCCATGCGTTTGCTTGACATTGGTCGGTTCCGCTGCTGTAAGAGTTATAATCCATGAGGCTACTATTCGCCATGTGTAAAAAGTAAAATAACAAAAATACCGGACTCCGAGGAAAATTCAAAACGGATAGTTCATAATCAAATGGCAACATCAAAAGCTCAAACACATCAAACGAATGGATAACAACTGTCATATTACTGACTTGGTACAGGCATTTTGCTTCGATAAACGGAGGCTCTTAATAATGTACAATTATGTGTCGAGTGCCAAATTTGTATTTCTGATAACATGGTTTTACTTAGAAAAATCCAAATGCTTCAGAAAACTGTTAAACTAGAGACTTGTTCGTTTTAAGCCCATATGACCGGAATATTTTATCTTGAAACTAACATCGAAATCTTTGAAAAATAAATCAAAATGAACAATTGAAATGTTATCAGTACGGTAAACCAGCTGGATAGCGCATTTTTTTGTATAGTATTTTAGACAATTCATTTCAAGATTAATATATCGGTCTTCACGCTTTGATTGATTACAATTCACTCAGTATTGTTAAGCAGTTGGTCAAATTAGTACTAGACCTTTTAAATAAACATTTGCATAACTCTTACATAACATGTTGAACCTCAAATTTGTTTATTTATTAAACCATTAAAGTCTGTCTGATTTATTATCCAATGTCGCTAATTGTTCTCAATTTAACATTAGAATTGCATTTTTTGTATTTCAGATTATATTGTCCAGCTTATATTTCACTTCAACTGTAATACCTTTCCATTTATTTGATAAATTGTGCATCAACTGACTTTTTATGCAATCCATATTGTAATAATTTTAACATTATATTTTTAATTGTTGGACACTATTGATTTTTCTTTCCAACTTTTCTTGGAAATGTTAAATTGTGTTGATAAAAATGTAATTTATCTGTAGCCAAATGTTACAGACTAGAGAAATCTGAAACAAAATCAATAAAAAAATCAGAATTGTTGTTTAATCCTGTTCTGTCATTTCAACGTAGCGCATGATGAATCTGTTGGTTTGGTTAATAGTGGCCTTTAATCTGGGTTTATGTTTAAATACACCTATCAGTAAGTTTGTTTATTGTTATTTCAAATATTATCGAAGAAATCCGTTTTATTAAATTCATACATCTGTATTGAGAATGGAATTTCATAAATTATGTAATTGGCACAATTAGAGATATTCCAAGAACAACGTGTCGGTTGCACTCAACTGCGATTATACATGTAAACATTGATAATGCTTGAATAGAAAATTTCCGTATCAACTTATTTATTGTTAAATGAAAGAAAGTAACATGACGCCGAGAGCCTCGTGATAATATATTCAAACAATCAGAATACTTTCTTCCTTACTTAAAATTTTAGACATATAAGTAAAGGACGTCCTGTAAAACAAATGCCAACACACTTGTTCTCTTGCTTCGGTTGCTTGTAAAATACCATTTAATCCCTGCCTCAGAACAGATTTTAGACAACTTAATAGTACTAACTAGTAGTGTACTTATTCATAACATCATGTAAACAGATTTCTCCAAAAGTCCGCATTATATGAAGCAGATGTCTGCTCATTTAAGATATAATATTCAATTATTCTACGTAAGTCATGTGATTGAGCACAACCGAGATTTTAGGAAATGGTGTTGAATAGTTTTCAACTTCAAATCTCTTTTAAGAAAAAAGCAGAATTAGTATTTGAGTAAAATACATCAACTTTCTTTTTACCATATTGTTACGGCCAGAAATAACCTTTAAATTGTAGCCAAAAAAAGACACAAATCAATAATAAAATTTAACAAGATTTATTATACACAAGTTACCAGGAAGTATTACACAAAAAGAAATGTCAATTTAACTGTCAAAATATATGTCCAATCTTTTTGTCTTTTCTTTATCCGGAAATCTTTTCGGGAATCCAAACAGAATATTACGTCCAATAGGTCACAATCTAGTATGATGTTGTTCGTAAATAAAAGTGTCAATCCAATTGAGAGAACTTCTGAGAATATTAATGTCTATTGATGTCTATATCTGAAAGTTTAACTTTAGTGTCTGTATATACATAGTTGTCACGGAAATCTCTAGAACACTGTAGAAAGGAAATGTAAGAAGTTTAAATTACGCATCTTTTATTATGATCATTCTGGAATCGTTATGTAAGTCAAATAGAAAGTTCTAATCATTCTATCAGTCTCTATGATTGTTGCAGTGATTTCAAAACTGCACAGTTATAAATTATTTTGTAAACATGTTATACATGTTATAAGGCCACAAAAAACAAATAAGGCCAACCAAGTAAACATGATAGTTACAATATCATAACACCTCCCCCTTAAAAAAAGTTTAAGTGTAACAAGAACTTTTCATGAACAATATATATAAAAATACATAGTATGTATACAGTGTTTAATAAGATCTAGATAAAGCATCTGCTAGTACATTATCTTTACCTTTAATATGTTTAACAATAACATAATATTCCTGTAACAATAAACTCCACCTAATCAACCTCTGGTTCTTGTTTCTCATTTTATGTACGGAGGTGAGAGGGTAATGATCAGTATAAACAAGAATAGGATGCATAGTGGGATTTAAATGTACATCAAAATGTTGAAGTGCAGACAACAGTGCAAAACACTCTTTTTCAATAGTTCAATACATTTTCTGATGTTTATCTAATTTCTTAGAAAAATATGAAATAGGTTTCTCAACATTATTATCTGTATCTTGATATAAAACAGCTCCAACTCCTACATCGCTTGCACCAACGGCAAGTTTGAATTGTTTTTCAAAGTTTGGAGAGATCAAAACTGGACTATTAATCAAAAGTGATTTGCTATTTTGAAAAGCATTTTGACAATTATTACTCCAGATGAATTTAGAATCTTTCCGTAAAAGATGGGTCAATGGTTAAACAACAGTAGCAAAATGTGAACAGAATTTCCTGTAAAATCCAAGCATGCCTGAATATCTCATAAGTTGTTTATTATTTGTAGGAGGAGGAAATTTGGTTATTGCATCCACTTTAGCCATAATAGGTTTCACTTGGCCTTGGCCAACTATATGCCCTAAATAATCAACAGTGGCCTGGCAAATTCAATTTTACCAAGATTAACAGTCAAATTTGATTGTGACAATCTATCAAATGTATTATATAAATGTGTCCTTCCAGCTATCACTACATACAATAAGATCATCAATATAAGCATAACAGCAGTCTAAATCTTTTATAACATTATTGATCATTCTTTGAAATGTAGCTGGAGCACTTTTCATACCAAACGGCATGACAGTTTACTGAAATAAGCCGTCTGGTGTTACAAAAGCTGATATTTCTCGAGCTCTCTTTGTCAATGGTACTTGCCAGTAACCTTTCAATAAATCAAATTTGCTCACAAATTTTGCTTGTCTATGGAATCGGATAGAAATTAGATTTTGAAACTGAATTTACTTTTCTGAAATAAGTCACGAAACGAAAGGTTTTATCTGGTTTGGGCCCAAGGAGCCAAGGAGAGCTCCACTCACTGTTACTCGGATCAATAATATCATTGTCAAGCATATATTTAATTTCTTGTCTCATAAATTCAAGTTTTAGTGGATTGAGCCGGTAAGGATGTTGTTTAATTGGAGAAGCATCACCTACATCGACATCATTACAAATAGCAGTGGTTTTGTTTGGCACATCTGGGAAAAGATTTTTAAAAGAAAATACCAAAGTTTTCAATTTTTCTCTACGATCAAAAGTCAGATGTGCAAGTTTGGAGTCTAAATTTAACAAAATTTCTGAATTTTTCAATCTAACTGTTTGTTCAATAGTCTTAGAATCTAAAGGTGGTTTATATCTGGTTTGTCATGATTATTCTCAAATTTAACCATGGCTAAAGTGGCAACTGGTTAGCTCTCCCCTTCATTAGTACGCTCAAAATATGGTTTTAACATTTTAATGTGACACACTCTATTTTGTTTACGCCGACCTGGTGTTTTTACAATATAATTCGAATCATTGATTGTTTTCTCTATGGTATAAGGACCACACTGTTTATCCTGTAATGGATGTCCAGGGACTGGCAAAAATACAAGTACCTTATCACCAGGCTCAAACACTCTGTCCCTGGCATCTTTATCATACCATATTTTAATCTTATTCTGAACAGTTTTTAAATTGTTCTGAGCAATATGTAATCAAACTGGTGTTCTTGCAAATCCTCTTTTTGTTGTTTTTTTGCCGTCGCCCTAGTAACAACACAAGCTGGATACAGTTCAGCATCATCTTCCGGTGATTTAACATCCACACCAGTTTCATTGGTAACAATTGGTTCAGCAACCACTTTGTTCCTAGCTAGATCATTTCCTAGCAATAATGAAACACCCTCAACAGGGAGATTAGAACGAGCACCCAATTTCTGGTACGGCCAGAAATAACCTTCTGAGCAATTTGACAAGCAGTATACAATTTTTCTTTAAATCTAGATACATAGTCTGGAAGATTCAAGTCAGTGTGTTCAGTAAGCCATTTTTCCTTAACCAATTTTAAAGGTCCCCTGACAGTATGACCCAACACCAACTCAAAGGGACTTAAACCAAAGGATTCTTGAACAGCCTCTCGGATAGCAACGGGGTTACCAATTCTTTCCATAGTAGTTACAGATTTTTACTGGTGCAATGTGTTATATCATATTTATCTTCTTTTCCTTAGTCATGACTTACCACCGATTCGAGCTGTCATTCGATAATTTTTAAACGACTAGCTCTAGAAACCCCAATCTTTTTGGAGCATCTACGTTAACAACCTAATTTGCTTTTTAAATGGAAATTGCGTTACTTTAGCGATATTCCCTTTGGTCTAGAGTTTCACTTTATACGGCATTTAGTTTTTTATAAATACTTAAGGTCAAGACAAATGTGGTAAACTGTTTAAAATTGCTTTACTAGTCTGTGGAAGTAACACTATTCACATGCGATTCCTGCAATTCTTCTTGTCAATTGCAATTACTGTGAAGTTCAAAGTTATGTTGAAATAAAAATAGGAAGTTTTCATTTCGTATACGAATAGTTTTTAAAATTAACACGCTAGTTGTGAGAAAAGTTTAGAAACATGATGTATAAATATTTTGTACAATTTATTTTTTAGAAAAATCAAGTTTCATTGGTGGTCCAATGATGGACCGAGGGTACTGTAAGTATATTTTACGAAAAAAAATATGATTTCTTTGATTCAATGTTCTAAAAATGTATTTTACAATGGGGATAACTCAGATAAGAGTAAATTTTCATATTTTGTTATGTATCTAGGACAATTATAACATGACTTTTTTTTTCTAAAAGCACATTATAAGAGATATTTCAATAACCTATTTTAATATAGTATCGTTTTGTTTTTCGTTCTTTCGCACAAATGTGCTGTTTTCAATTATAGTTCTGCGGTCCGTTCTTTTTGTTATAAAATGGAAAGCTACTTGTTGGCAAAGTATTTACCAACTTTTTAGTAAAAACGTTTTTACAAAAATTATTACATATTGCCATATAATATATATACTATACTTTCAATTTGTTAAACATTAGTTACAGCAAGGCAGTAACATGTAAGCTATTCTTATATTGTCAACCGATTAATCTTTGTTGGTTGATATTTGTCTTTCGGGAATGCCCTCTGGGTTTATATTTATCTCCATTAATTTTTTTTTGTAAATGCCTATTCAAAAAGAGGTTAAAAGTTTGAAATAAAACAAGCGGAAGGCATAGCAAAGCTTATTGATTATTTGACAACTAAAATATATGTATTAAGTAAAATGTTAATGATGTATATTCACGTAATCACAAATAACAGTATATATATGTAACAGGGGTAGACAGGCGATGCAGATCTTATAAAGGAGTGTGTATAGAAGTTGACAATCCTTGTGAAGGGAAAGTTATTACAGGATATGGACTATGCCATGGTCGCCATATAAAGAAATGCTGTGCCTACTTTTGATAGGTTGTATATTAGCAACTAAATATTTGAACTTACACTGATTTAGAATATGTTACTATATCTTCAGTTCCACTAATTACAAATTTGCTGGATTAGAAATTAAATTACTGTATAGTGGAAATAAAAAAATACGGGATTTGAATTATTTTGTTCATAGTTAACCGCCCAACTGGTCACGCGATGGCTAATCAATGTCCTCAATTAAGGGAGCCAGGGTTGAAACTCGTATGTTTAATCTGTGATTATAGTAAAGGCATTTCCTTTTTTCTGAGCGAAATAAAAGGATTTTGGTGTAAGAGCAAAAACAGGACAGCTCTCGAAATTAAGCGACAGGACAAGGTAAAAGGTCTTCCTGTGGACTTTTCTTTTTCAGTTACACTGTGTAACAAGCTAAATATGCTGTGGTTGGTCATTTACAAAGCTAGATACAGGTTAACAATATTTAATATTACGATATTATACTCTTAAAATATTTAATTATGCATTTAATATTTTGCCCTGAACATGCTGAAGGTTAAATGCATATTAAACACTAAAGTATAAACTGCAATGCTTTTACGTATTTATGTTCGACCTTTTGCCCGAAGTCATACTTGACGAAACTCTATACAGAAATATCAAACAATAAATAATAGTGTTAACATGAATGGTAATTTTTCCTTTGATTTTCGAGTGAGTTAACTTTTGTTATTTTTTTAGGAGTGCGTTAACTGAATGAATATTTAGTTAATGCACTCTCCAATCCCGCCTTTGGTCGCTTCTCGTTGAAATAACAAAGAATGGGAGGGGCTTAAACCAGTGCTCTAACTTCCATCTCAGAAGTTGTTAATGCACAGTCTGGCTCCGCCTCCTTAGAGTAGTAAATAATGATAAGAATAAAACAAAAAGTTAATAATTTAAAAATAAAATGACAAAACATTTTCCTACTGTCATTTAATTGGTTGGATACCTGTTTTTATAGTGTCAGAATTAATGTTAACAAAATATTTGTCACTGGATGTTCAGTAATTTTCTCCTTTTATAAAGGTTTATATCCGTGAATTGAGCATGCTTCAAGTATTTGTACCTTGACCTTAAACACAATCAACAACCAATCAATTAACCGATCTTTTCCAAGTTGTTGGGTTTTTGGGAATGGAAGAATAGTATTATCTTCATAGTTGGTATTAAAAAAAAAGTTTCCTACTATCACAACGTTAAAACTCATTTGAAACTACACGTTCTATTCGGGTTTGAAGGCAGTTAAACACGAATAAAACTTTGCATCAACACGCTCCGATACTTTCGAGCAGAATGATTCATATTTGGTCAGCAGCCCGACAGTGATGTGTTGCAACTTATGAATCCTTTCTGGACCTTTTAGACAAATATTTCCTGTTTGCTGTTTCTTTGACATTTTCTATATGTTGAATGATCTCTTATGTTTTCGTCATACAAGGTTACAGAACGAAATGACTTCATATTTCGTCGGCAGCCCGACAGTGACAAGTTTTTAAATCTATTAGACAATTTCTTACTATGTGTCGATACTTTCAACATTTTCAAATATTTGAAAGAACCTTTTTCGTGCCACTTTTACTCGGTACTACTGAACAGAGTTAATTCATATTTAGACCACAGCTTTGCTGATATTAGAGCTCTACATAAAATTCAGACACACCTTTCTTGTTTTTTTATCTTTGATTTACGAGTGATGGCATAGCACAAAGCGTTCAGTGTTGCTATCATATAAATACTGTAACTGCGACAACAGTTCAAATCTAAATCTGATGTGTGCTTCTTTGTAACACGCTTGAACGTTATTGGTTTTATATATATCTTACTTGAAGTTCCCTATTATGGAAATCTAAACACAAATCATTATATTTCACAATAAAGAATAATAAGAACATTTGATATCGTTTAAGTTAAATTCTAAATCATTAAAAAACTTCTTAATCTATCTTTTTATTTCAGACACAAGGTTAGATCTTTAAAATGAGAAAGAAAGGACGGAACTTGATCGATGGTTTTACAGTTAAAAATTTACCACATTAAAACTAATTTCTTATATATCTGAATATTGTATTTGCCTACGATTCTCTTTGTAATTGCCTATTCGAGATCACACTATTTTCCACTATTTCTTATGATATTGTTTTTGTACAATTATATTTAATCATTCTTATTCCCCTATAAATTGAAGACCTATGTTTAGAAAACTGAATAATCTCTTTATAGACTGCATAGTTCAATATTCCAGCATTTAGCTCCTTTTACCAACTTTTAATGGGTCTCCTTAATTGTTGGTATAAAATCATCTAAAAGTTGCAAATGTATGACTCACAATGGATTAAGACGCACGCGAGTTTGGAATATGAGATACTTAATTAATTCATTCCTGCTGAACATAGCAGCAAATAATTCATGTACTTCTTTTAAACTGAATTTTACTGCACGTATTGCTGTGTGTTTGGCTAGAGGTATAAGGAGAGGGTTGAGATCTCACAAAACATGTTTAACCCCGCCGCATTTTTGCGCTTTTCTCAAGTCAGGAACCTCTGCCCTTTGTTAGTCTTGTATTTTGTTTTTAAATTTCATTTATATGTTTCGGAGTTTAGTGTGACGTCCATTTTTTCTGAACTAGTATACATTATTGTTTAGGGGTCAGCTGAAGCCCGCCTCCTGGTGCGGACTTTTCTCGCTGTGTTGAAGACCCATTGGTGGCCTTGAGCTGTTTTCTGCTCTTTGGTCGGGTTGTTGGATCTTTGACGAATTCCCCGTTTCCATTCTCAATTTTATGGAATATTTGCCACTGTATATATAAGCATGATGGAGAGTTGTCTCAATGACACTCATACCACATCTTCTTATTTATATGAAACAATCAGTCAATCATCTTATGTCATGTAAACTTTATCGTTTAGCGTCTGGTAGTTCTTCTACAATTATCACTAGCCTGTCAAAATTTTGTTTGTGAGTTCAAACGCCGCTCGTGTTTAAATTCTTCGCACCGCCAAAGTTTCTATAATAAGATCCTTCATATATATATAACAGTTATAGATTCTAGAGAACTTATTTACATGGATGAATGATTGATTGATTGGTTGTTGAACAACAATACACATCTAGGCACCATGGATGAATGATCAAAGCGCCATCTCAGAAACTAAAGTATTATGGGTAATATCATTATTCGTGCCATTAAATGAAAATAACCAAAGTCAGGACGAATTGTCATTATTTAGGACTTATATAACCAATCACACCGTTTTGTGTACGCCTTTGAAAACATTTCCTGGAATGCATTAAATTCTGCGACGATGAATTGAAAATAAAGAATTTTTCAGTAAAGACTCTTAGGAAACTCTATCTTATACCGTTAAAAAAAAAAACGTATACCAAGAGGAAGGAGGAGAATTTGAATAGTTAACTATCTCCCCTCCCCCAGTTATACCAGATCTCATGATTATTAAGCTATTGATGTCGATCTAACTGACTTGGTTTTACATGTGTTTCAGAATTTTGTTCATGTTATCCAACGTAATTGATACCAATAATTCCTGAAAGAGTTTCTTCAACGTTATATATCTTTTGTTATAATTATTATTTGGAGAATTTAAGAGTGTCTGAATGGGGGTCCTTCATTTCCGAAATTATTTTGTCCATTATTCTCTATTTATATTTAAGCTTTCCGTTATTCTTTGGTTTTTTTCTACTATTTTTCTCTGTGATTTATTTTTCTCTTTATTTTCCTTTTTCCACACGGATCTGTAGTCTATTAACTCCAACCAGACCCTCATTCAGTCACATAAATAACCATTTGTTCTGCAGTGTGGTGAACAACACTTTAATATGTTGACTTGTTAATTTTAAGTCATTGCATCTTCAATATTAGAAAAGATATTCACAGTATGCTTTTCTAAGTGCGGTCGAAAAATGCTTTTCTTTGTGCGGTCAAAAAAAACACCAAATGTTAAATTCATTGTAAATTGATGGCCATTGCGTGTCCAATATTTGAGATAGAAATTCATAGTATGCTTTTCTTTGTGTTGTTTTAAAATCACAACAAGATGTCACGTGCATTGTAAATGTTATGGTCATTGCGTTTCAGATAACAGAAATATTTATTCACAGGATTACATGTATGTTTTTAGTGCGGTTGGAAAAACACACCAAGATGTTACATACATTATAAATTTATGGTCATTGTGTCTACAATAACATATATAAATATATAAATAGAAATTCACAGTATGATTTTCTTAGTGCAGTTGGAAAAAAACACATCAAGATGTTAAATTCATTGTAAATGTATGGTATGTGCGTCTCAGATAACAGAAATAAATATTCACAGTATGATTTTCTTAGTGCGGTCGGAAAACCAACACCAAGATGTTAAATTCATTGTAAATGTATGGTCATTACGTCACCAATTACTAATTTGATGAATTATAAACGCAAGATATTATTACACTTCGTCTTTCAACAGTACAAGCAGCGAATTTGAACTTTCTTAAACACGAATAACGACTTGTGATATAAGGGGATGACCATTTAATATTCTGGAGAGATGGTGTTAGGTTAGGAGGATTTTGGAAATGCGAATTCTGACCTTGTAATGACTTAGGAAAATTTTTCATTCCCATGATAGGATGACAATGAATGTTTCATTATATATAATACATGACAATGCAAGAAATACTTGTGGTTGTAATTAGTGAAAATAGAAAAGCCGTACTTTCAACTAGTGTAAATTAATATTCCATCCTCAAAAATCCTCCTGTACCCTCCTTTTCCCCCGAAAATCATATGATCGACCATAATCAAAATATTATTATTTTTCCTCAGCACCTTGCCATCTTATCTTTCTCCGATAGATAATTTAACATCAAAAAGATAACAACAACTACCAAATATATTTGACAGTACATAATACCACACCAACCACTTAAAACTCGACTCATCTGACAAACAAAAACGAATAAACAAAGACAACCAACAAGGAACAACACACGGCAGAGATAGCCAGACTTTATACAGCAAACATGTGATGAGTTTCATCCAGTCTCACATGCACTAACACCTCCTTTTTTACCTTTTAAGGTCATATGTTGTAGAAATAAAACACACAACACAAACCTGAACAGTCGATATACCGACAAGAAGACCACTAACTTAAATATACAAATGCAATCAATTCGGAAAGCAGGGCCAACATGTGCTTGCTATTTCAGTAATGTTGCTTACTAGGTAGAAGCTGTTGTCGCTTTTACTAAACTTGTTCCAAAAAGGGTCGGGAAATTCAAGATGCATATATTAAGATTTCGTTGTCATTTTGGCATTATTTTCTTATTTTACATTAGCTAGGGATGTAATAAACAAAATTCTCTTTTTTTTTTATTATTCAATCGTATCCAAGCTATCCGACATATTAAAGACTTTTTCTGGCTGTTCATTATACTCTCACATATTCCTCCAATGACACAATCTGGTTCGATAAAATTACTGAAATCAACAAAAAATGACATGGTTATCGAGTAACTTTAATTGAAATTGTTTACATGTGTTTGTCCATAGAACAGACTTGATAGAGAACATTGACACTGTCTGTGCAACACCACACCGTTTAACATGTTTAACTGGAACAGTATTGTTGTAATAATAAGTTTGGTGTATCCGAAGCGCTTTTCTGTATTAAGGATGTTCGCTACTCTGGTTTCAAAATAACAGGCCTTTTAAAAGACTGTTATAAAATGACAGTATATAAATAAAGGAACTTAAAAGTAGAAGAAAATGAAGGGTCAATGTGCTAATTTTCGAGATATAAGCCACTGAAAATTTGGCGGGAAATGATTCTCTATAGATTTTTCATACTTTTAACATTGTCCGCTCTTTTAAAAACTATGAAAAAATAACAAGATTTTTGTAAGATTTTCAAATATGGCTTTTAATACTATATGTTAAAAAAATTGAAAAGAAAAGTAGGGGTTAGTGGACAAAATATTTTAATTGCTAAACGTGGATAAAACCAGAGGATTCCGAAAATTTGGCAAAAATTCAAAAACAAGAGGAGCGAACATCCTTTAACTCTAACAGGAACACTCAAACCCAGACATTTGGTAAAGATAATTTAAAGCAGCTGTTTCCTTCAAGAATGTCCAGATTTGTTTTCCTTTTCATATAATTATGTCTACTTTTCTCCTTTAATAAATAGTGAAAGCCTTTTTTTAACTTGTGAGTTTAAATGTCCCTTTGGTATCTTACGCCTCTCTTGTGACACAATCTTGTTAGCTAGTGAAAATATCAGTATGTTTACAATGTTTATGTCATTTTTCTCTGATGTGATAGTCATATGAATGAATGAAAATAAACAATTATTGTCGGTTGAGAACAAATTTTTACGACAAAGAGATGATTTCAGATTCCCAATTGTGAACTTTCTATTTCTATGTAGCAACATTCCAGCAGCGCCTGCATATGGAGTATATATCTCCCAGTTGATACGATATTCCAGGGTTTGCATTTCCTATCATGATTTCCGTGATGGAGGGTTGCTGCCAACAAGGAAGCTATTAAACCAAGAGTTCCAATTGGCGAAGTTGAAACTCTACCTTCAAAAATGTTACGGACGCCATCACGAGTTGTTTGACCATTATGATATATCTTTTTCACATATGACGACGGATATGTTCCAATTGCCGTAACGACAATCCCGTCCTTTTTTCCCCGAATGTGACGTATCGAAATGACTTATTACAGGATTTGTTCTTACATGAGCAACACGACGAGTGCACCTGAGATCACCCCCGGATTTTGGTGGGGTTCGTGATGTTCGGTCTTTAGTTTTCTATGTTGTGTTTTGTAAACTATTGTCGGTCTTTTTGGGTTTATTTTTTTTTTTTTTTTTTTTGCCATGGCTTTGTCATTTTATATTCGACTTATATGTTTGCGTGACACTTTTTATATTTGCCCTCTCTTTTATAAGTCTATTATCTCGTTCATTAGGGAATTAGATATTGCTGTCTCATATATTATAGTTGTAACACGCCTATGCAAAATGGTATATCAAA